TCACTATTTAAACTAGTCATCTTTTATTTAACAAATACTTCCAGGACAGTTTTATTCTCAAATTTGACCAAATAACTTCTTAATATACTGATAATGAACTGGCCACACTTGATTAAGGAAAGTCTCCAAAATTAAAATCGGCTGGTTATTTGTTGATTTCATCTTCTTAAAAAATAGGCTAACTGTGTCATTTGAGTACAAGAATAGCATTTCAGAATGTTAGATGACTCAGTTTATTTACTTTCCAAGGTAAACATGATGCAGACTTTTCCAAGATACCCTTGATGCAAATTTTGTTACTGGATTAATATAAACTTAATTCTTTTGATCTGTTGGATGTGTGTGTGTTTTTTTAAACATTCGGTTATTCACTTTAATGTTTTATAGTTCAATCTGATAATTTGGTTCCCTAGTTCACATTTTTTGCATACTTACTATATATAGACCTTGCAGTCATTTATTTTTATATTTTACTTGTTAATCTCCATAATCAAAGCATATAATCCCCTATTCAGCTAGTCTCTTCATTTGTAGTGATAGCTGACAAGAAGTGAACTTAATGCTAATGCCCTAAATCTAAAATGAGTTCCTAAAAGGACTGTACAAAGCATCTTGGTCTAGCTTGCCAGAGGAAAAGTAAAATGAGGAAGCCCTTCACATCTTACTTTGGTTGAATATTTAATGGTGTTATTAAGTTTTTCCAATTTTGAGCTGCCTATCAAATGAGATTGTCCTTTTAAAATTCTTTCCATATGTAATTCTTTAAAACGTGTTATATGTAATAAAATTATAATCATTTTACAATTGAAAGGGACCTTAAAGATCATCTAGTCTACAAGTTAAAACTGATGGCTGGCCCTCTCTGGTGGCGCAGCGGGTTAAAGCACAGCACTGAAAATCAAAAGCCGCTTCCGCATGAGTTCGATTCCCGCCCGGAGGTGACCACATGGCGTGGCAGGCCTCTCCTGACCCGCCCGCTGCTCCCCTCAGCAGTGTACTTCGTCGATCTGCCTGTTCTGCTCCCCGCTCTGTCTCTGGTGAAGCCTCTCGCCGCCCCCGAGCCTCTGGCCTGTATCCCAATTCTGTATGCACAAATAAATAAATCTTTAAAAAAAAAAAAAAACTGATGGTCCAGAATCCAGATCTACATACCTACAATAGATTTTTTTTTTACTATATTTATAATTTAAAGAATTTAAATTACTTTTACTGTAAAAGCAGTCACTACTTGGCCACAATCCACACCATTCCCTAATATTAATACCTTGCTGTTTTTACCTGGTTGATGTAAGGGCTCTCTGTGTTCACTACTTAATCTATTCCCTTATTTTTCAGACAAGTCCTAGAAGTTGAGAAAGTGCTTTATCTCAAATTACGTAACTTTTAAAAAATAGAACCAAGCCTGTTAATTCTCAAAATAATGTTCCTTTTTACAGCTGTTGTCTTCTCTTAGAAAGCAAGATAGTATATAATCAAGCCCTAAACTATTTTGTGCAGCATGTCAGAAAAGGCAACAATCACTGTGGCCTGAGATATAGGGATAGGTAATACAAGAATACTGCAGAGGTGTTTCTTTGACACAGTCCTCCTAAGGATTGTTCTTTCTTGATCTATATATTGTTCTTGCTAAATAGTGGACAAAGGAAGTCACTGAGTGGCACTTTGTATATATTGAATAACAGTATTTATAAAGCCAATGACATTTAGATTACTCCAAAAATTCTGTTTATGCCCTTATTACAGAGGAGGCGGAAAAAGGGACATTGAAGCCATGAACTCCCAGAAGATCCTAGAAAATTTCAGGGCCTCTCCTAGATTAAATTTAATTTTAGCCACAAAGTAATTGGCACATTTCTCCTCCAGATTTATTGAAAACAGAATTTAATATCAATCCATTGAAAGGACTTTTTGTACACTGAACTAGATAAACTGTGAGCTGTGTATACTTTCACCCTAAGAAAAGTCCTCTGTACAATACAATCCCTCATTACTTCGCTATCTGTTTTTTTTTCCCCCATAGTGCACATGACATAACTTCTGTTAATTTTTATTTGTCCCCTCACGCCCATTGTAAACTCTCAGAAATAAGATTTTTGTTTCCAGCTTTAGTCGTGTTGCCTAGAACAGTGCCTAACATGTAGTAGGCACTCATTATATAATGATGTTGAATATTATATATATAATATTATATAATATAATATATTAAATATATAATATATTTATATAGTATCATTTATTAATATAGTATCATTTATTAAGTTTCTTTTGTTTATCCTCAAGTTTTTTATACTATTCTTGGATTGGGGTTGATGTACAATGCCAAATAAATAGCCAAGAATTAAAATAAAATACATCAATTTATCCTTTTGTTAAGATTTTTGTTGACCAGTGATTTTTATATTACTCTTGTAGCTTATCATTAGGGTTAGTAATATCTGAAGTTGCATCTTCACTGAGTATTAATGAGAGATTATATGTAATAGAGAATGTTGGATAATTGAATCAATTGTTTGCCTTTCTGATATGTACTTCTATCCTTTCTGATATGAGTACATTTAGTCTAAAACTTTACTGCATTTTCTTTGACTTACAAGTCTTCTGAATTTTCTGCCCAGAACCATCATATCACTTACTGTTTTCTTTGTAAAATTGCTAGTTAGCAATTTCTGATGGGCAAACTACTGCCTTATATAAATTTGTATAACTTAATGTAGAATATGATTGTGCCTGTTTCCCTCAACTTTCATTTCATCCACTTGTGATACAGGCACTGAAATCTATATTTGGAAGGAACCCTAAAAGTTTTTAAAGTCTTTCCATGATGTTATTGCTATGATTTTTAAGACTACAATTAAATTTCTTTTTTTAAAGATTTATTTATTTGTGCATACAGAACTGGGGTACAGGCCAGAGATGAAGGGCCAGAAACAGAGTGGGGAGCAGAACAGGCAGACTGACAAAGTACACTGCTGAGGAGAGCAGCAGGCAGGTCTGGAGAGGTCTGCCGTGCCATGTGGGTTACCTCTGGGGCGGGGATTGAATTCATGCTGAAGTGGCTTCAGCTTCTCAGTGCTATGCTTTAACCTGCTGCGCCACCAGAGAGGGCTCCGATTAAATTTCTTAATCTAAAGAACCAATGCAGGCAAAGAAGCCTAAGTCTGTAAAGAAATGGAAAAAGTTGTAGAAGATAATAAAAACAACCTTTTAAATAAACGGGGCCCAAGTATTTTGCAGCAAATATGTCAAAAATGAGAGCTATAAGTTATTTCGTTCAGGAGTTTGTTGTAGTCTCATGTTTTAGGTAATTTGTATAGTTAACTAAAAATGGGAATCTTTAAATAAAATGTAACACCTAAAATTGCCCTCAAAATAAATAAAAATTTTCAAAGTAATGGAATTTTCAGAGTTTGATCGTTTTTACAATTTAATTAGTTTTCTTTATCTAATCTTAACATCATTGAAGCAATGTGAATGAATCATGTCTCATTTTTATAATTGTGTTAAGAGCCTGTGTGTAGAAATTGTACTTCCTTGCTGATGAAGTGTAAGAAATCGCACTGAGGCTGACACTCCTACATTCACTTTGCATATATGCTGTGTTCTTATCTGTTTAACCCAAAGAAAATGAGGATTTGGGAGATCCTAGTTAACTAATAAGTTGGCTAGTTAATAGATTTGTGTAAACAATCCTGTATTTGCAGATTAACATACATGTTGCTCTCGGGAATAGTGGACCTGGTACACAGAAAGATCTGAGTCACAGAGACTTGAGTGAGGAACTGAGCTCAAGGCTTCAGTGACGACCTTTATTTTTCCAGGGTTTTTATTTCCATCTTCTCAGTATTTAAACAATACAGAAAGCAATCTAAATATGATAATAAATTTGATATTTCACAATAGACCTTATTTTGACCTTTTGCAAATCATGTGTGAAAACTGTATGTGGCATGAAATCATGCAGGCTGTGCTCCAGATTTAAAAAGTTATACATTATCAAATTAAAGCATAAATTGTAAAGGTAAGGATCAAAGTTACACATTGTAAGTTTTTTTGAGAAATATTAACCACCTCTGCCCACACCAGGAAGGACATTACTTGTGTCCAGATGATGGGTCTAGGGACAACCGAAAGAGTTTGCTCAGGGTGCAGCTGGCTATGACTCCACACGCATAGGCATATTATTTTTATTAGTTAAAAAAAAAATGTGTTTAAACACGTCTGGTTACTATGGCTAAGAAACTGACATTGTTGTTATTAAAAAGGTTTTCTTTAATGCCATGACCACTGAACAGTTATTTTTCCTAAGAGAATGGGAGCTTCCCATTCTCATAATACCCAAATTCTAGGAAACTTTCAGTATCTTCTCTATCTCTAATATACTGAAATTTTATAAGGCTGAGCCTTTGATGGGTTGTTTATTTTGTTTTGATTTCCATTTTGAATACTGGAGGCTTTTTTTTATTCAGATGCTTGTTTTCTGAAATCTAGTCTCTGATTCCTATTTTCAGGTTCTTTATATACCTCTCTAGCTCAGTTACCATTCATGTATCCCAGGGTGGGTAACTTTTTTTGGGGTGAGGGGTAACATAAGTGTCAGTAAATACTTTAGCTTTTGGACTAGATAACTATAACTACTTGATTTAGCTATTATAGCACTGTAGCAACGACAGGCAGTACATAGGTTAAAGGGTGTTCCTGTGTTTCAGTATCAAACAGTGGGCTAGATGTGTTTGCAACCCTGTGGTATTCACCTTTAATAGAATATTAGCTCAGTGAAGGCAGGAATTTTGTTGTGTTCATTGGGTATAACCCTGTACTCAGTAAGCACTGGAGATACAGACAATTCATAGAATGGTGGTTTTATATTACTGTTTTAGCGTGGTTTCTGAGAAAAAGTGGATAAATAAGTCTGCCACTGCTATCTTGTAACAAGCCTTTTTTCTCCTCACCCGTTTTTTCTTAATACTTTGTTCTAATTTGAGTAGGTTAGTATTGAAAATCACATCTGTATTTCTACAACTTTCTTCTACCTTTGGTTTCCTATAGAGTCCTGCCAGTAGTAGCATCAGTGTATGGAGAATGCTCTCCGATTTGTGTAGTATAGTGATCATATCAAGTAAGTCAACCTGATCAAATGTCATATTTATGTAAGCACATGAACTTAAAAAATTAAGAATTTTTTTTTTTCTTTAATAAGGTACTAGCTTTTGACAAATTTGCACCATGCGTGAGTATAAGCTGGTGGTTCTCGGCTCAGGAGGCGTTGGAAAATCTGCTTTGGTAAGTCATTCATTGTTTCACTACCTAAGCTGTTTCCTCTAAGATATGCTACTTCTCTGTTGAGTTTCAGGTTTTGATTATTTGTCTTCATTTATGTGTTAATTTTAGCCAACTTTTAGCTATATCTGGATAGATGATATTCTTTCAGGAATATTGATTCAGATTGACATGAGTTAGGTCAGAATACAGTTTGGAGTAAACACACGGGGTGATAGGAGAATATAAATGTGTCTGGATTTTAGAGCTAGAAGGGAAAGAATTTGGGACTTTCATTGTGAGTTGACTTATAATGGTATTCTGTATTACTATCAAATAAAGCTTATTTTAAAAACTTTTTTTGGACCAGGGGAGAAAATAATAATAATGAACAACTATATGCCAGAGACATTTTATGAGGGTGGAGTGGGGAATAGGATCAAAAATGGCAGAGGTTAGAGGGGAGTGCACTGGACTATGGTAATGGCACACGGGTGATTTGGTGATGGGAATCCCACAGGGATTACAATTGAGATGGAAAAAGGCACAAAATGATGTAAAAATAAGCTATTACATTAAAAATAAAAATAAAAAACTTTTTCAAAAAATAGCATTGTCTAGTTTTACATTATTTTTGTTTTCTATATCAAGGAATAGTAAGAAAGATGACACAACTTGACATATAAAAGGGGATGGGTAGCAGAGCCCCAAAGACCATCTTACTTGGCCACTTAAGAGTAGGCAGCTGGCACAACCGTGGTATAAGCTGCTTTTCCAAAATATGTCCATAGCAGTGGGGAAGTATTCTGAGTGCATGATATGTGCACTTACTAATTTCAAAAACAGATGTTTGTAACAATGATCCTTTTTAGAGTTACCTGACAAGAAACCGAGTTGGTTTTTCTTAATTTATATGGTAATTTTCTCACCAAATAATGTATGTTCAAATGTGATAATGGTTATATGATTTTCGTCAGTGGCATAACTCCTTACGTAAAGTTCGTAGTTGAAAATGCACAGATTTGGATTTGTTCTTTTTAGAAGTATAATGGTATGTTCATTATTTTCAGACTGTACAGTTCGTCCAAGGAATTTTTGTTGAAAAATATGATCCTACGATAGAAGATTCTTACAGAAAGGTATATACTTCAGAAAATTTTTTGCTTTTGACTTTTTATAAATACTTGCTTTTGGTCTTACCATTATTGAAGGTTGTATACAGAAGTCAGGTGAAAAGAGAAGATTTAATTTATAAAATTAGTGGGGGTAGTTTACTTTCTTTTGGTCTTAACATTATTGATTGTTGTGTACAGAAGTTGGATGAAAAGAGCAGATTTAATTTGTAAAATTGGTGGGGATAGTTTACACTGTTATTTTCTGATATTGTGTGTTTATCAGTTTATGAGAATCTTAAACACTTACATTATCCTACCCCCATCTATCCATCAGTTAATCTGTATTTATTTCTATCCCTGATTCTCTGAGAAAATGTTTATCCTAACTCCAAAATGGTGATTTCGACACATACACTTCATAGTTTAGCCATCCATTACAGATGTTAGCCCCATACTCCTTTCATGCACACCCCCTGAATACTGAGTTCTTCATAAACTAGAGAAATCTCCTTCACTTTTCTACTTAGAACTCCTTGAGAAAGTGCCACTGCTCACAATGGAAAGGTTTGTTTCTGTCTGTTAACAGAATGAAGGACAATAAAATTTAATGTGCAGACATTTTTTTAATTAACCCTTCCTGCACCCAGCTGTGAGACAAATTACATTTTTCTTCCCACGTTTAATTCTAAATAACTTTCTTCCTAGGAAATGTTAAGTGAAAGGGGGGTATATCAGTATATGTAACTTATTTGATAGCTGTTCACTGCTTCCTTGCCACCACAGATTTTGCTCCAGTATAGTGAGAGGTAATGTGCATATCTAGAGAAATGATTATCTACGGTATGACGGAGTTGAGATAAAAATCACTTCTTGGTATTATTGGAGCTTTAATTTTTCTGAGGTGTTTTTAAATTGTTTCCTCTCCAGAATTAAGTACTGAAGGAGTCATATTGAGTTTGGAGCTTACAGATATCCTTGTGTTGAAATGAGAATACCTGGTTTTTGCACCTAATACAATTTGAGGGTCTGTGAGCCTTGTTTAGTTTTTTTTTTGTTGTTTGTTTTTTGTTGGTTTGGGGTTTTGTTTTTTTTTTTGCCCCATTTTAGGAAAGTGCTTCAAATTAGTTGTAAGTTTGCTATAACCTATGCTTCTGTTTTAAATATAATAGTTCATTTTTATATTAGGATATCATTGTAGACAATAGAAAATAAAGTTCTGTTTTAATTTTTTCCCCAGCAAGTTGAAGTAGATGCACAACAGTGTATGCTTGAAATCTTGGATACTGCAGGAACGGTATGTAATAATGAAGCACTAGTGTGTATATACAATTTGTACAATACTAACCTTGTAAATGATAGTACACTCTAGACAAATACTAATTAAGCTTATTTAAAAGCACTGTTTGCATTAAATCTTTTCTGACTCTCTTGAATTCTACCCTTTTTTGTGCTTTGTAGTTATAATGGGTCAATTATTGAAAAATGTCAGAATGTTACTAAGGTAAAAAAATGTGTTTGGATAAAAATGTTCAGTTTCACTAGTATTTTTAAAACATGTTTAAATATATTAAACATTAAAATATTTGTGTATGCATATGCATTTTTTGAATGTTATCTTTCTTCCTTCAAGTATTTGTAGACTTAGTAGATTTTTGGTATCTGAAGGTAAAGGACGAGTGTAGTCCCTGGATGCAGTATTCATTCAGTTAACGTTTGACTACCAGTATATTCCATGGACTGTTACCCTCAGAGACACACAATCTATTGAAGGGATAAAAGTATGGGAAAATGTCAAGAACATAGCTAAGCACCCTGCTGAACTCCAGAAAACTAGAGCTTATAGGCTAGTTATAACTAATTTTGGGATTCAATTTGGCTGCTCTGCCTATTATGATATGTTAAGAAGCTGCCTTTAAGGAACTTTTGGAGACAAGGTATTTGTGTCTCACTTGTTTTTTGCCTTTTTTTTTTTTTTTTTTTTTTTT